CTATATATATATATATATAAAAAATATCTTTTATTTAAATTTTTCCCCATTCTCCTTCGTCCCTTCCCAAGGCCCGCCCCTCCTCTTTCATCCCAGCCCCATCCCTTCTTCCTTGCGTGCATTCTCCCACCCCGCCCACCCCCACAACGTGGCCCAGCCCGATAAGATTCTATAAAAAGAAACGCCACAGTTCGTGATTTAGCCCACAGTCGGCGGCCATATTTGATCCCCACAGCGGCGTACTGCTCGTGGCGCCGCGAAGAGAGAGAGGAGGCTAGGCTCCATTAGTTCTAAAGTCCTTGGTTCCCATATATACATTAATATTAATAGCAAGGAGATTAAAAGTAATGGAGGATGCTCTTTGCGCGGCACCGCACGCCTGATAGGAGCCCTCTCTCGCGGCGGAACTGTGGTCTACCTGCGCTGAGCGAATGCCCGACTTACGCACTGAAATCTAGATAAGAAAGAAGGTTTTATTCCGAGGTCCTTGAGAATAGGCAAGTCAATTAGTAAAAATGCCTTGCATCTGTGTTGTATTTAAGTGTAAGAACCGATATGATGCTGCAGTGGACCGAAGTTTTCACAGTTAAGTTGTTTTCCTTTAAAAAAATTTGAATGAAATTTGAGTGTTTTTTATGCCCCCAGCAACACAATTTAGATCATTAACATTCATAAGAGGCTGGCTCCGGCGCTACCTGCCAAGGCCAACCCAGGCTGAAAGGGATACAATAACCCAGCAGAAAGACCGAAATACTCAATTTTAAAAAAAAGTATTCTTATTCATATATAGATCTAGATATAGATATAGATATAGATATAGATATAATTATTATGTGTATATATATATAATTATTATGTGTGTGTATGTATATACATATTATAATTTATATTGCTTTCCATTGTGTGTGCAAATTAGATGCTACTGTTGTCTAAATGTAGATATCTAGAGGCTCCATTAGAATAGGAAATCAATACTCAACAATAATAATGATGAATATTTTCTATATTAAAGAAACACCAAACCATATCAGATGAGGGTAGAGGGTAGGGTGGGGTGGATAAGAGTTTGAGTCTTGTTAGATAGAACTATACTCGGTTTAATTCTATTGTTGTAGTCTTCACCTAAAATCCCACAATCAATAATTCCGGTTCAGTTAAGATTCTGCAGTTAAAAAATAAACCAAACAAAGCAACAACACATTTTAATACACAAGAGTCATCACTAAGATAAATTATCCCCCCCCCCCTCCCCCCGGAGTGTAATAAGGGACGAAAAATGCTGCTCTCCATATCATACTTTACTGAACAAAAAAACAAAAATCTTCAAAGGTCATCCACGCTCATGCATGCGATCACACCTCCAAAGGTGCTGTTATCTCTTTTTTAACAAAAATATTTGTGCGCTCCACTTTGTGAAAACCAGGAAACAAAATTATAGTAATCAATAATATTATTATTTATAGACCAAGACTTACTGTCAGCAATCAGATAAAGCTGGCATCGACCCTCTGTTGTGTTCGCTATTCCTTACACATAAAGTTAGTTATGGCACACGCCTAGAACCATGCAATCATAATATCTTAAATTCAGTTTTAAAGTATATTTTTTATCCATTTCTAATACTTAAACATTTTAACATCTTGAAAGATTATCTTTATAATTTGTTATGTTTGATAATTTTATGTTACTTGGACAAGTTTACTTCTTATTTTACACATCTTTTTGCTTTTTAAACTAGATTATAACATAAAACTCAGAGAGAATTGAACAGTCCGTATCACACACAGAATTTTTTTTTCTCCCTGTCATTATCCGTCAGCCCGTCATGAGTTGATCACAATCTCTCTCTCTCTCT